CTCTGGTGTAAGAACAGCGGATACAGCAAGTCAAAGGTTGATGACTTGTGTCTGAGAACCAGGATGTCCACACTGGAGCTGACTCTGAACATCGCACTAGGCTTACTCAGGTTTAGTGGAATGTATAAGTATTAGTACTCAAATTATTTCTTTTACAAGGACCAACTGAGAACCCCATGAAGGCAGGTCCGGTTTGTCCGAAAGGAGCCCAGTTTTCTCCATTTAGTTGATTCATACTCAACAGTGTAAGGCCTGCAGTCACCAAGTCTGGGTAGTGCTTGCAAAGGCTGACCCTCATTGTATGGTCCACCTAATCCAGCCCTTTTGAGATTGTGTAACTTCAGGCCCATAGCTCTGTGAAAGTTTCTGGGACTGAAAATTGCTAATCCTGCATGACATGCTGTTCTTTGTGAAGTCCTAATCCAATGCTTCTTGTAGGATGATTATAATGGAGCAGTGTTGGGGGAGGAAGAGGACTGCATAGTGAAGGCTCTGTTTTACTGAATGCAGAATCCTTATCTCACAGAATTCATCTATTTCCCTAAGTCAGAGACCAGCAAAATGTTTCTCCGATTTTTTTTTATCAGGCATCAGTTGGTGTTTAAATGATTATAAGCATGTTATGAAAATTGATCTGTGCTCAACTTGCTTTATAGTTGGAATTAAATCAGTATTGATTTTATATTTTTGTATTAAATTATATATCATGGCTTTAAAGTGCCAAATGCATGAATAAATAGAAACCAATTTTAAAGCAGTTTGTTATATGGGTTCTTCCAGAAGGTGGCAGCTAGGGAGCTCATACTGTTATGTAGTACATTCAGACTACTACAATGTGAACACTTTGTGTAGGGAAATAAGATTATGGCAGAGCAGAAAGGGGAAACTACTCCTCTACACAGCACCATTCATACCATTAAGTTTGAACTGGGAGTTGCATCAGAATGTTCTCCTGAACACTGTTAATGATATGAACGTCTTTTTCTGAAAGAAAAAAAGCCAAAAGAATTTTAAAGATATCTATTTCTATTTATTTTATATATATATATACATATATATAAAAAAAAAATAAAGAAAGCAAAAATCCTGTGCAGAGGGAAGAGATGGGAAGCCAGAACAAAGTAGAGCAGGGTAGGTCTAGGTGGCCAAAATCCAAAGAGGATGCTGATGTGGCTGTTAGGTTTGGGTTGAAAGGCTCCAGTGTAAGGCTACAGCACTTTTGTCACGGAGCAGAAAGATGCCTGGTGATCAAAAATTATGAGAACAAACTGGGAAATAAACATGGGGAGAGAGGAAGACTGTGATGGTGGTAGATGCAAACTCCTGCAGAATTTTTAGAATGAGAGGTTTTTTTGGACTGGCTCTTGAAACTATAGGAAAGTTTGTTTGAAGTGATGACACGACGTGTGTCAGAAGGTGGGTAGCAGCTCCCAAAAACTGAAAAGTTGGAGCTCACTGAGGTCAGAAAGAATTTTGCAGCTGTTGAGACTTCAGGCAACTTGGTGACTGTATAGTGAGGTGGTCTGTTTTTTTCTTCTTCTGTGCATTATTTTGAGTCAGCCATGAAACACTTGCAGCTTGACCAGGGTGACTGTTCTTTCCTGGAGCAACACCTGATCACATTTTCTTGAGAATGCCATTCAAAAAATTGAAAATGCAATTATTCATTTTTTATTTGGGGGGGGATAGGGCAGGGAGAATTTAGAATAAGGGGGCTTTTTAAATTAAAAATAAAAACCAAAAAAGGTTTTATTTCTAAGAGAGTGAGCTATATATTTAGCAATTTAGATTAAACCTTCTCTCTGAGATCAGTTTCTTGAACCCTTAAAAGTATGAACAATTGAAAGTGTACCCATTTCAGAAATAATTATGAAAGGTTCAGGAGAATGGTCTGTGATTTGCATCAAAAAGAGAAAAATACATTTCACTAGCCATTTCCTGACTCTGACAACTGGAAATATGAAATACCAAGTTTTGACAGAAAATTTATCATTAAATAAAAATGTTCAGCATTTTTGTGCACTGAAAATCAAAAAACAACCTTGCTTGCAATGAGCAGCTTAGGTGTCACTGGAATATTAGAGTAAATTTTGAGAGCAGTTTTTATAAACAAAACTTTATTAGAAGACCTCCTAAATCAGCAGCAGTAGTTTCAAATTCTGGTTGCATTTGTGCTGCCTCTTTATTAAGAACAATTATAATTAAGAGTTTCTGTGGGAGACTCTCCATTTTAGCTTTAAACCTTCACAGGAATCTCCAGAAGAGCACAACTGATCTCAGTTCTATGAAATTTAATTGGCTTTAACACGGTTCCTGCTAATAAAATAGAAAAGTAATGTATCAGTAGGTGTCCTCCCTTGTTGCTCTCTCGTGTTACAGCAATTCCACATTGGACTGTGAGAGCAATTTGATTCACGAGTAAATCAGGAACAGTTTCTTAAAAGGTGGTTTGTGAGGCACAGCACTGCTGCAGAAAGTAGCTTTGATTAGTGAGTAGTTGACATTCTTCTCTGGAAAACCTCGTGTTAGAGGGAGCATTTTACAGTATTTCAGGTGGAGAAATTAAAAGGCTATTGATCTCTTGTTCGTTAACGATCTTATTACATTTTTGCTAGACTGGCTGCCTAATACCCTGTCAAAATTCACACTCGAATGCCTGTCATACAGCTGCACACTTTCCAGCATCAGCCCTGTAGGATAATATGACATTTTTTTACTTTCTCTCTTAAACTGTTGTGCAATCTTATCCTGTGATATTTACACTTATCTAGAAGCAGTTGCATATCAGCACTTTGTGAGAGACTCCCTAGACACACTTGAGTCCTACAAATGTTAAGGCCCTACACTTACAATAAATATTCTAACACTCATACAGTATTAATAATACAAATTCATAATATTTATAATACATCCCAGGGGAGAGAAAGGGAGGTTCACTTGAGTGTATTGCACATCATATGAAAAATCTGATATGGGTTTGGAAACAGCTGCTTTTTTTCCTAGCTTGTGGCAGCTGATGGATGCTGCTGCTGTTGGAGAAAGTGCTGTCTGACATCAGGTAATATATGTGCTGCCAAAGAGCTACAGCATCCCTTGGGATACAGGGAGCCTCATGGCACAGTCGTTTGGTGTGATCCAATACAAGTGCAAGTCATTAACACTGCAAGAATAGCAGCTGTAGGAAAGCCAGTACACCCAGTGCCAAACCTGATGATTTTGCTTCTGAAAGTTCATTGGCAGAAAGCAGCTGGTGAGTCACACCTGTTGGAAAATACTGTGTCATTCTTATTTCCCCAAGGAAGACAAATTGCACTTCGATCAGTGACAAATCACAAACATCAGTCACTTTTGAGAGGAAAATCTTTGTGACCAGATGCCATATATTTATTCTGAGTTCTATTAGATGGGCCCAAACCTCAGCTCTGCTGCCTTTCTATTTTAAAAATAGTAAAGATACAGTACCCAGTGAAAAGTCCCACCAAGCAATTAAGATTAGGGTTTATGGGAAAGATCCTAAATGGAGTTAGGGATTCAAGCCTTTGAAAATCCTACCCTAAGATTACATGAGGTTTCAGCTTCCAGAGGCTGATATGACCATAAGCATTCAGAGCATCTGCTAGGTGACCCTGGAGAAGACAGTGGTCTGTATAAGCACAAGTATAGTACATATTCATGTGTTTCACCATTTTTAAATACCTCTCCTTTTCAGTTTGTAGGAAGGATTCATATTCGGGATATCAATATTCATTCTGGTTTTCTCTAACTTTTGACAAAAAAATCTAATTAAAATTGCTTTATTAGATTCAAAGATAATTTAAAATAAAAGTGTTCTGCTAACTACACTCCAGTTGGTTGCGTGCTAGGTCTTGTCCTTGAGGTAGGCCATAACTCAAGGATGGCTTATTAAGTCCACTGGTAGGTAGTTTTATCTGTTTTAGCTTTTTTTTTCAGTTAAACACCTCATCTTCCTCCTAATCCCCCCATTATGCACTACTGGGTGCTTTCTAAACTAACAGGGCCCAGGTTAGGATTTTATTTGGTAATGGTTAGGATGCAGCAGCTGAGGGACTTTGTCAAAAAGCTATTTTAAAATCCACCAAAACACAATATGTGATATGTAATTACTTGAAAAAATTGTGTACTATAGAAAACACAGCAAAAGCAGCTGTAACTCCTGTGATATTGGTGAAATCGTAACTTAATTAAGATATTGCTGAGTATAAGCATCACAGGTAAGAACTAAACCAATGCCTTCATAAGGTCTTGTGATTGTGTTCATGTTAGTTGCTCCCATGAAGCACATCACAGAGGTGCAATAGCTCAGTCTTCTGTATTAAAATTGTATTTGCATTTTGGTAAGAATTTAACATCTATAAATGTATTTATATATAACTTGATGATGTGTAACTATTTGTCAATAATGAGCAGCTAACTCTGAAGCAGAGTAGATCAATTTAGCTCTTGCTGTTCAGGGGATCTAGATTTCTTTGGGAGCCACAATTTTCCTGAATACCAGTGAATGTGCAGCTACCAACTGAACTGATTGAAGATGAGCAGAGGGGTTAAGATTGTCTGAGTTTGGGGCAAAGATTCTGCAAATTTCTGTTTGCCCAGCCTCCTAAAAGAGCATAAACACGTATTTATAAATACTTATAAAATGTGTATTAATCTTTTAAAAGGGGATAAAGCATGTAAATGTGGTCTTTTTCCGTTTTGTGAAGGGGCAAGGGCTGATTCACTTGCCCATTTCATTTTTTAAAGAGACTTTGGACAGGGAGAAGGAAAGGGGGAAAATATTCTCCACTCATGAAGAGGAGGATGTTGATGCTGCTTTTGCTATATTTACTGTATTGAAGAGTGGGAAAAGCTCCATTTCTGCTGTGTTTGAAGGACAGGTTTCAGAGAAAATGGATGAGCATTCTTTTTATTCAGGCCATTATGACACAGTGGTCCATGACTGTGGAGGCTGGGAACCTCACATGAAAATCCACTGCCCAAACCCCAGAAACAGGAGTGCAGCAGATGCTACTCCTGTAAGCAGAACCTTGGCTGTTCTTTTTCACTGTGCTGGTGGGGGATGGAAAAATAAAGGTGATGAGAACAGTAAAAATCAAAATCCAAACTGAACTGTAGAAAGGTGATATTTGTAGCACCTACTGTATTCATATGCATGTGTGCCACCACAGGTCACCAAATAGTTATTTAAACAGAGAGTTGAAAAGGAAAAACCTGTAACTGGCTTTTATCACAGTGATGGTCCTGGAAATGCCTTCATATCTCTTTAGATTTGTCACTGGAAAAGTCTTCTTGCTCTCATTTTCTGCTAGTCTTGGGGCTCAGCTCTTAATGCAGCCCTATAAAAACACAAACCTGTAATACATGCCTGATTTCAGCTGCAAAAAGGCTTTTGTTCCTACAGTGGCCTCCCTTTGCTGAAAATCCGCTCTGCGTGAGCTTTCTCGGTGTGTAATTACTTGAGGATCTATAGGTAAGACTTTTCAGTACTTAAATAACTGGTATATGAAAACTCCATGGTGAGGCCTTTCATAAATCAGAGGAGGCTTTGGTGCAATTGATTTGATGATGTAGTTCACTCTGGGGGCTGTGAATGGTAGAGTCTAATGAAGAATATTGAAAAGGTTACAGAACTTTCTCTTGCTCTGGGTGTTTTTTGTTTTGAGGCTGATGCTTGAATGGTAGAAACAGTCAAGTTATTAAACCCCACATCTTTCAATTCTATTTACAACACACATATCTTCATTTCAAAACACGCATTTGTCCATGTTTTTTCTTCTGGCAGTGCAAAAGTTATTGTTTACTGCAAAAAAAGTATGCAAAAATTCAATGTAGATCTGTGCTGTACTAAAGGTGTTCATGAAAGAACATACTACATATATATTTGGGCTGGTGTTTCCACAAAATATCAGTGAATCCTTTCACTGATATCAGTGAATCCTTCCAGTGAAGGACAGCAAAGCTTTTCGCCAGTGCACGTGGTTCTTTTTTTCCTGTGTGTCTTTCTGGAATTATATGTCTGGATTTCAGTAAAATATATAGTGATGTTAACTTGGATTTCTTAATTTAGTCAAAAAGACTCACGTTTCTTTCAATACTTCTTTCGTTGCTTTTGTGTTTGTTTGGGTTTTTTTCAAGACAGCAGAAAAGACTAAGGCTGTCTTATTCTGCTTTGGCTGAAAAAATCTTTAGATAGTGGTGTTAAGATTATGGCACAAAGGCAAATGCCATTGCACTCATACTGCTTTTACATAGCAATCACGTTGTACCAGAAATAATAATCTCTTGGTAAGCTAATTTCAAAATGATGATAATGACATTGATCTCCGTTCTAAAGTGCTTTGAGATTTACTGATGAATGTCTTGATGCAAGAAATAGATATAAATTACCATCAAAGGCATTCATGTATAGAAATTCCAAAGAAAATTATCAGAAAATTTAGGTTCCAAAGTTTAATACTGCTGTCGAGATTCTCTCTTCTGCCATTACCATCAGTAAAGAGTGAAAATGAATTTGAAAATATGCAAGGCCAGCAAAGTAACCCTATGTGTGAGCCCCCCCTGCTGCCTCTGGCTGCCATTACCTGGCAAACCTCTTCCCAAGATCACTCCAGAGCTTGCTTAGGAGCTTCAAGAAGCAAAGGGGACATAGTGGCTGGGATAAGGATCAAATTCATTCAAGAGAGAGGTCAAACTGGGGAGGGATACTTTTTTTCCTCCAAACATAACTCTGAAATATGTTTCTAAAAAATGAAACTTTTGACAGACTTTATCGAAGCTAATAATATTGTTTTCTTTCAAAGGTGTAACTATTATTTTCAGAATTTCATAAAATTAAAAAAATATTCAAAATATATAGGACCCTTCGTATTTTTGCAACCTTGACAAAAGATTTTAATTTCACTGTTATTTTATGAAAAAAAACCTCTTCTCTGCTAAAACTTTTAAATGCTGTGTTTCTGATAGAAAAGATTTGGAAACTCAAGTGTGAGGATTTATACTCTGCAGCCTTGCAGCTTCTTTGTTCATTTTCACCTGCTCAGCAGGAGAGGAGAGTGGAGTGAGTGCTACAGCAGGAACTGTAGCACATTATGCTTTTTGTGCAGAAGTATCAATATCTAGGCAAGGCAGTGAAGGACTCAGTCCCCTGGGAATTATCCAAGAAAAGAGACTGCACCAAAAGTTGTGGTCCTTCAAGTAGGAAGTAGGGTTGCTCAGGAAATTGTCTTTCAGATTACATTTAAAATTTAGCATCTATGGTTAGAAATGAGACCATGACAGACGTTGCAGCTCTTGGATGTGCTGTTTTATAACTGGCACCAGTATGAGCCACAGTACGAGAGTAAATGCTCTGTTTTGGTAATTCTGCAGAATTACTGTTTGTTTGCATTTTGGCTTTCCTTGTTCAATTCCCAATATATGATGAAAAAAAAAGTAATTTCTCATTTTGATGAAGACATAAAGCAGATTGGGAGGAATCCTATCTATAAGTACATCTGTGTGTCTCTCTACTCTCGTATCTAACAGATATCTATCTGATATCTCTGGAAAGCCAATGGAAGGAGAAAAATACAGAGCTAGGTTGCCCACTACTGCAACTAATGAGCTGCAGTGTTAACAGTGTAGAGATAATGATGGCAGATTTGGGGAGGAAAATGAAACCGGGAAGACTGCAGGTACTCAAGCAAAGAAAGCTGCTTCATGCCAGCACCTGAAGGTGCCGTCTTTTCTGTGAAACTTTTTCTGAACTGCTGTGTCAGTCCCTGAAGGCTGGAGATTTTACGTGGAACTTAGGGACTTTGGGTCTCACTGAGAGTGAGAGTGGGAGAACAAGGCAAAGCTTTTTCAGAGATTACCTTTAAAATACTAAAAAAAAATTCACATAAGGTTACGTTTTCGGAGGGACTATATAGAGATTCAAGGTAAAACATATGCTGTTAAACTGAAAGTGATTACTTTGTACCTAAAATAGCCCTGGAAATGCTGGGTTAAATATGAAGTAGACTTCATATTTTCTTCCTAAAAATTGTGTGCATGTGCTCTAAATTGTTAAAGAGTTGCTCTCTCTCAGTCTGGAAGCTGCTAAACTTCACCAGTGTATGAAGGTGTGGAATGCTTGCATAGCCTCCAAAATGAAAAAGACGTTACAGGTTTTATCTGAAAGTCAATGATAATATTGTCAAGAGTTTTGGGGGCTTTGGCTTGGACTAAGCTGTTGTTTATAAGTAGTCAAAAGAAGGAAATGATTGCCATTTCTTGGCAAAATTTAGCTCTCCTGTTTGACTTGAGAATCCTTTCATTACTTAACTAACATTGGTATGAAAAATGATGCCAAGGTTCTACACTCTTCTTCAGATGTATGTGCTGCTAGCTGAAAGCCTAGAAATTCTTATGCAGTGGAACTTGTGGTAATATAGTGTCAAGATGTCTTATGTAAAACTTTCAGCAAATTGGGAATCCATCACAAGTCCTTAAGAAAACTCTTTGAAGGCTACAGTTGACCTTGGATTTATAATTGTCATGTTTTTGACATTTCCTTTCTTATTTAAGGTATATATTCTCTTTGCACTGTCTTCATCACAGATACAAGCTGAGATTGATGAGACCCATCCATTAGTTCTGACTTTTTTTCATGACACATGTCTTGTACATCTCCTGTCCCATCTCCAGTCTATGCTTTTCATATTAAGTAATAGTCTGAACTTGTGTAAAAGCATTTGACTTGTAGAGATACAGTGGAAACTTGGTCTTTCCAGTTAATATAGTTTAACCTCTTGATTTTTAAATGTGATTCCTTTCAGGGGTGTAAAGTGATGATAATTCTATTTTACACGCAGGAAGTCATTGGAGCTTAGCCTAAATTTAGGGCAATGCCTGACCCCTCTGAGGGGCTGAGCATGCAGCCCTCATTGCCTTGCCAGATTAGGCCTCCAGTGCTTTGTGACGATTCCCATCCTGTTTTGTGCCTGGTTTATACCATTGACTTTAGCATTGTTATTTCTCCTCTAAACTGGTCTTGGGCATCTACCCTGAAGCCTCAGCCCAGTTATCTTATTAATTAGTGAAACAAGAGTCCTTCCCTTGTTGTACCTGCTGAAGGATGTGCTGTAGTGTGTGTCCATAAGGAAGGTTTGGTTACTCCAGAACTGGAAAGAACACAAACAAGGGACACAATGCAAAGACCAAAAAGAAAATAATATAACAGTCAAAAAGGCTGGGTATCTTCCTTAATTTAGCCAATTCTGAAATAAAAAAAATACTTTATTGACATCCTCACTTTAATCACACTGCAGAATCTGAAGGACATTTCTGGGATAGGTTTAGCAAAGGATTCCTGTTACGGTTGCTCTGGTTTATTTAATCTGCCATTTTTGCTTTCTGACCTGTCAATAAATACTTTGTTCTAAAAGCTGATGGGAAGTGACCGCTGTGCTATTAGTGAGGTGGACATTCTGATAGTGGCACAACCTGCCAGACTGCTGGGCAAATAAAATGGTGGTTTTAGGAACTTTTCTCTTGGGTGAAATAAGGAAATCTTGGCTGACCTGAGCACAAAGAAGGTGAGTATAGGGAAATTGCTTTTATGTCACCTTAGTTCACCTGTTTGTTATTTTTCTGCAAAGAGTTAAACAAAGCCTTTAGAGGAGAAAAAGAGGAAATGGAAGAAGGAAATCAAGTACAGTGGAATGGCATGAGACTGGGGGAGCTGCCAGAAGTGGCCAACCCTTAGCGAAAGGGACCCTGAGAGCATGTTACAGCTTTGCATCCTGCAGACAGAGAATTGCATGGAGGTTTAGGCAAGGAGAAACATACATAGACACCTGCATTGTATTTGCCCCCTTGATGAGTAACTACTGCTCTGTTCTGATAAGTATGGTGGTGTTTTTTTCATTCATAAAAGAAGTTTTTTAAATGCTAGCTAGAGTGGTAATCCACACTGACATAACGTGGAGAGCTGATAGCTGCTGCTCTGACACCAGACTAGCCACTGGCTGTGGAAACCCAGCTGGTTAAGTGAGGACATGTAAGTTCAGATGACCACTTAAATTATATTTAATTTTGAGAAATCTCACAAGAATTTGTATTTTTTTTTTAGAGAAAATGGATATTGTCTTCCCTTTGCCTCCATTGCCACCTAAACAAAATAAAAAATGTTTTACTCTGCAAATAAGTGACTTTATAAATGCAATTAATTTTATCTCTTGAAGTACATTTTCTAGATGTTTTGAACAACTTCAGGTAATTTAAAAGCAAGGAAAGTACATGGGTGGCAATAAAGGGAGAATTAAGAGAAAAGTGTATATACATTGAAGAGGTAATGCCATAACTAATCCTGCCACTGGCTATTGGTGCAGAACCCAGACTCCATGCCTGTTCAGAACCACAGGGTAAGAGTCAAAAAAGTGTTGTGGGTTTTAGTGTTTGTAAACTGTACCTAAGAGATTTTTTTTTTCTCCCCCCAATTTGGACTCT